CTTTGATTCCTCTTTCCTGTCGTCTGCAATTTTCCTGGAAATCCGTTCATGCTCCCGCACCATTTGAAAGATGTTCATCCCAAAGTGAGAGCTGGACACTTCCCCGAGGCCTGGAAAGCCATTTGTGAAACGATAGATTGAGACTGGTGTGCTGCAGGAACTTTTCAGAAGGAAACTCCTTCCTTCCTTGGTTCACCCTCACTATAAACCTGACAGTCACAATTGATTTTGAGTGATTAATCACAAGGAAGAAAAAATGTCTGAGCGGATCTGATGTAGCTGGATGATTAAGCATCTTCCACCTTGACTTGAAAGCTTATAGAAGGCATTTGTCACATTTGCTTTCCTAGGTGAAGAAGCTCTTTGAAGGCCTCCAGTATTTTCTCTGTTTTTTTCTTACCCTATTATTATTGTATTGTTCCACCACCAAGTAGCAATAGCAATAGCATTTATGTACCACTTCATACTGCTCTACAGCCCTGACCAGGCTTCCTTAGAAAGCAAGAAGCAAAGTTTTGGTGCCGACAAAACCTCTTTTGCATAAAACCATTTTTTTAAAAATCTTTTTTCCATCTGGCCTGTAACTGCCCATACTGAAACCATGTTTGAATTGCCTTTTCCTCTTTTAGTACATTCAAGGGTTTTAATTGTAATACACCTCTTTCTAAGGTAAGAAGTTGTCTGTATGTAATTACATCCTGTTTTTGTACTATATTTATGTTTTCTATTGTGTGTCTAGGAATTACCCACATGGGTATCTTATCATTTAGTTTGTATTGATACTTTTTCCAGACCCGCAGTAGAGCATTCCTTATTTAAAGTTCTTATCTACCTTTTTGTCATATAGCAAGTAAGCATGCCAACCATATACCAAATCACGCCCTTCGATATTAAGTATTCTATCATCTGTTAACCGCCAAAACCTCTTTTATTTACATGACTCTGAATTCCTTTCATTCACAGTCAGCAAGGCATAGGAAACAATCTTTCAGAGGAATGTTTATCCACATGGACCTTATCTCGTTTAGAGCGCTGCCAGATAACTAGTTTCCAAACACGGGGCAAAGCGAAACTTGGCCCAGAGTCTCTTATAATCACAAACAGAATTTTCCACTCCTGACATTGTTTCCTGCAAAAGCCCACTCTCCATTCATTCCTCGTTTGTTTCCTATGGGTGGGGCCAATCACCTCCAAGGTGTGGCTTCACTTCTAAGTTGACCCTGCTTTCTTAGTTGTTCTGGTCTTCTGGCAGCTCTGCACATATGCACACTGGGAACAGGCTCCAGCTGTTCCTCTGCCTCACTGCTGTTTAACTCCCTCTCTGCCTCTGACACAGAGCCCTCATCTGAGCTTTCATCAACCCCACAGCCCGTGTTCCTCCCCAATCTCCTCACTGTCCGACTTTGTTGCCAGCTTTGCTGGCCGCCGGCAGGTCACAACATCTCTAAACGGTTTACAGAGGCAGCATATTAACCCAACAATCAACCCAACAGATCCTCATTTTACCGACCTCAGAAGGATGGAAGGCTGAGTCAACCGTCAGCCAATCAGGATCAAACTGCTGTCAGTCCATTAAATTAGAGCCCTGGTGGCGCAGTGGTTAAAATGCAGTATTGCAGGCTAACTCTGCTGACTGCCAGCAGTTCGATCCTGACCGGCTCAAGGGTGACTCAGCCTTACATCCTTCAGAGGTCAGTAAAATAAGGAGCCAGATTGTTGGGAGCAAAATGAGGACTCTGCAAAATGATTGGAGAGAGCTGTAAATTACTATGAAATGTATATAAATGGTGTTTAGTGCCATTACTATTAGCTTTCAGTGCTGCATTCTAACCACTGGACCATCATAGCTCTTAGCCTCCACAGTGAAGTTATCTAGAGAGTGAATCTTGGAAACATGCCTGCATTTTAACACCTCCCCCCCCCCCAAATGGGAAAAATGCAACAGCTGCGATATTTTAAAGTTAAACTCTACAACGGGAACTGCAGCTTTTGTTCCTTTGTTTAAAACAAGAGCGGTGAAAAGAAGGACTAGAGGTGACATGATAGCAGTCTTCCAATACTTGAAGGGCTGCCACAAGGAAGAGAGGGCTAATTTACCATATTTTTTGGACTATAAGATTCACCGGAGTATAAGACATACCTTGATTTTGAAGAGGTAATTTTTTAAAAAATGCAGAGCTTTATGGGAGATTTATAGAGTGCTACTGGGGCTGGAGGGGGGCAAAAATGAGCAAAAACGTCTCTTTCTTTGCTCATTTTTGCCTTCCCCAGCCCCCAGGAGGATTTTGCAAGCCTCCCAAACCCTCTGCACCAGGGTTGAAATTCAGCAGGTTCTGACAGATTCTGGAGAACCAGTAGTGGAAATTTTGAGTAGTTTGGGGAACCAGCAAATGCCACCTCTGGCTGGCCCCAGAGTAGGGTGGGAATGGAGATTTTGCAATATCCTTCCCCCAGGAATGGCAGGGGGAATGGGGATTTTGCAGTCTCCTTCCTCTGCTACACCCACCAAGCCACACCCACACAACTGGTAGTAAAAAAATTGAATTTCACCACTGCTCGGCGCGTCCATTTTTGCAAAGGGGGAGGGGATTCAGGAGGCACAAAAAAGCTGTATTCAGTGTATAAGACGCACCCAGATTTTCAGCCTCTTTTTTGGGGGGGGAGATGTGTCTTATACTCCAAAAAATGCAGTATTTTCCAAAGCACCAGAGGGCAGGACAAGAAAAAAATGGGTGGAAACTAATCAAGGATAGAAGCAACCTAGAACTAAGGAGAAAATTCCTAACAATGAGAACAATCCATTAGTGCAGGGGTGTTAGACTGGTAGCCCAAGTGCTGGATTGATCCCAGGCTGGCCACCCCCAACCCAGCACTACTAATGAGAAAAACATCACCAAACATCACATGATGGCAACGTGACATGCGGGGTTTGACACCCGTGATCCAGTGAAACAAATTGCCTCCAAAGGTTGTGGATGTTCTAGCACTGCAATCTTTAAAGAAGAGACTAGACAATCCTTTATCACAAATAGTAGAGATCTTCTGCGAGAACAGGGGCTTGGGCTAGATGACCTTCAAGGTCCCCTTCCAACTTTCTTTCTGCGCCAACTCAGAAAGCTCAAGCTGCCCAAAGAGCTGCTGGTTCAGTTCTACTGGGAAATGATTGAGTCTGTCATCTGCACCTCCATAACTGCCTGGTTTGGCTCTGCAACCAAACAAGACAGAAACAGATAATTAGACAGATAATTAGAACTGCAGAAAAAACAATTGCTACCAACTTGCCTTCTACTGCACGAGTAAAAAAGACGGCTGTGAAAATATCTACAGACCCTTCGCATCCTGGACATAAATTGTTTCAACTTCCACCCTCAAAACAAAGCTATAGGGCTCTGCACACCAGAACAGCTACACAAGGACAGTTTTTCTTCGAATGCCATCATTCTGCTAAGCAACTAATTCCCACAACACTGTCAAACTATTTACTAAGACTGTATTACAATTATTCTTCTCTTCCTTCCTAGTATCTCTCTCTTCCCACTTATGACTATAACCATGTTGCTTGTATCTTTCAATTTATATTGTTTCATTTGTTTACTAGTACAATTTGATAGCTTATTAGTAACCTTGGCTATCACTAAGTATTGTATCTTTTTATTCTGGATGAATGTATTTTCTTCTCCTAATGTACAATGAGAGCACCAAAGGCAAATTCTTTGTGTGTCCAATCACACTTGGCCAATAAAGAATTCTATTCTATTCTATTCTATTCTATTCTATTCTATTCTATTCTATTCTGTTCTGTTCTGTTATTCTCTGTTACTGCTACTGTTAATTTCCTATTTTAAAAACACAACTGAGTAGCTCACAATGGTTACATAAAACCAAACATCACAAAAAAGCTAAAATCAGGAAACTCTACAAAAGAAACAAAGACTAGGTATCGTGCCTGACCCCTAGCAAGTTGCAATGCATCATTTCTCTTAGTTAGAGCAAATGAAGAGTAGATGTAGCAGATCTGTCAGTGTCGAAAGCCCTTTCCTAGAGAACTAGAAGTGCACCATCCCTGTTCCAAGAAGTAGATAGAGAGGAGAGTGAATTGTAAGAGAAGACCCAGGGAAAGTTTTAGGATTCCACCTGGTTTCCAGGCAACATCTCGTTAGCTCTGCAGCTGCAGGTAACCCCTTTCTTTTCCACATTTACCATTCCCAGGATAAATTAACCCTTCATTTCCTCCTCCAAAAGAAACTTCTCTAGCCTGTTCTGAATGGCATTTCTACTTTGCTCTTGATCATCTTAATGGTGGTAACTGTGAGAGGGATCTTGGAGAACCATCTAAATATGAGCCAACCATGTGGAGCAGCTGCCAAAAAAGCCAACACAGTTCTAGGCTGCATAAACAGAGGGATAGAATCAAGATCTCGTCAAGTGTTAATACCACTTTATAATCCCTTGGTAAGGCCACACTTGGAAGACTGCATTCAGTTTTGGTCGCCATGATGTAAAAAATATGTTGAGACTCTAGAAAGAGTGCAGAGAAGAGCAACAAAAATGATTAGGGGACTGGAAGCTAAAACATCCAAAGAATTGTTTCTGGAACTGGATATGTCTAGTTTAATGAAAAGAAGGACTAAGGGAGACATTATAGTAGTGTTCCAATATCTCAGGGGCTGCCACAAAAAAGAGGGAGTCAAGCTATTGTCCGAAGCACCTGAGGGCAGGACAAGAAGCAATGGATAGAAACTAATCAAGGAGGGAAGCAACTTAGAACTAAGGAGAAATTTCCTGACAGTTAGAACAATTAACCAGTGGAACAACTTGCCTCCAGANAGATAGAAAGAAAGAGAGATTTGGAAAGAGAGAGATGAGAGATAAATCAAGAGAGAGAGATAAATATGGATATACAGTATAGAAAGAGATGGATAGATTGATTGATTGATTGATTGAGAGATGAATATAGAGATAGAAAGAAAGATAGATTTGGAAAGAGAGAGATGAGAGAGAAATAAATAAAGTGAGAGACAGAAATATGGATATATATATAGAGAGAGAGATGGAGAGAGAGAGATTTTTACCTGTGGATTTGACCCTGTTTGCTCAACACCATGCCCATCCTATCCGCCATAGTTGCAACCCCTTGGCACAACATCCCAACCAAGGTCAAGGAACCCATCATCCACAGACAGAACTCAGTGGCTTCTGGGTAAGGCGCCTCCCTTAGTTGCTATCTCCCCAACTGCCCAGAGGGTGGGCGAAGAGGGGGCGGGCATCTCCCACTCACCTGTCATCACAGTGGGTGAACTTCATGTCCATGGTGTGGCGGCTGAGGAAGGTGCCACTGTCCAGGGGGGTCTCGATGTTGGCGGGGTGCGGGATGGCCTCGCAGATGAGCACCAGGCATCGCAACGGGGGCTCCGCAAAGCCCCCTTCCCCTTCCTTCCCTGCGGCCGGCTTGGAAGGCGCATAGGAGCGCATGTGCCCGGAGCAGTGCAGCACCTGGGAGGGCACAAGGAGGAAGCTGGCGGCAACCGATGGGTGGGAACAGCGCCTGCTTATTCTGGCTGGCGCCTTCTGAGGGCGCCAAAAAGCCGCCCGGAGAGCTTTCGTTACAAGACGGACAGCATATAAATTGAATAAATAAGTAAATAATCATATATAATAAGTTATAAGACTGGTGCCCTGGCCTAGAGGTAGAGCTCTCGCCTCACAATCAGGAGGCTGCTAGTTCGATCCTAGGTAGAGGCAGATATTTCTCTCTCTGAGTTCTCACACTGGGAATATATTGCTGGGGGGAAAAACTCCGCATTGGCGACAGGGAAGGGCATCTGGCCAGTAAACACCCAGCAAGGGATTATGGGGTTGTTACAATAGTTGCTCACTTTCCAGGTGGCAGACTTGAGGTTGACGGTGCGCCCTCTGGTGGTGAGCGTGCTCTTCATGCGCAGGGAGAAATTCCGCTCTGTCTTCACTTCCGCCTTCTTGGAGAAACCTGGGGAGAGCCGGGATGAAGGGTTAATCAGGACATATGGGGGTGTGGGGTTGGGGGGGAGGGTGCATGGAGGGAACCAACGGGCGGAGCAGGAAGTAGGGAGAGGGATGTTTGGTCCTAGCTCCCGGCTTCGGGGAGTCAAAAAAGCGTCAGCAAAAAGGGGGCGGTTGGAGATTTTCGAAGGCTTTAACTTTGCCTCTTGTTATTGTTTCACTTTGAAAACATGACAGATTGCCCTGGGAAATGCCACAGACAGAACTCAAAGGCTACAGAAGGAGGAGGGAGGGGAGAAAGGAAAGAAGGAAGGAAGGAAAAAAGGGAAGGAAGGAAAGAAGAAGAATGAGGAAGAGAAAGAGGAAGAAATGGAGAAAGCAAATGGAGGAGGAAGAGGAGAAGGAGAAAGAACAGGAGTGGAGAAGGAAAAGGAAGAAATGGGGAAAGTAAAAGGAGGAGGAAGAGGAGAAGGAGGAAGAGAAAGAGAAGGAGGAAAGGGGGAAGGAAGAAGAGAAAGAGGAGGAGGAGGAGGAGTTGCTGCTAAAGGAACTTAAGCAACAACCTACAATTTGAATAGACCAGTGCAGAATTCGGGTAGCCTTTGCCCAGCCTGCCCAGAGAGGCCCAGGGCTGGAGGAAAGGGGACCTCGCAGCGATCCCCCATCCCTACTCTGAAGAGGCTGGCGAGGGGGGGGGGGGACTCACCCTGCCTGGGGCTCAGCACGTCCTGCAGCTCCTCCTGATCACAGGGGTGGATGAAATCGAAGACGCTGTGGCCGATCAGCTCCAGCTACGGAAGGAGATAGAGGGGAAAAAAAGAAAGGATGAGGCACATCTGGATGATGAAGGGAGGGGGAGAAGCCGGGAAGAAGGCTCGGTTGCCCAGCAGCCCACATCGGCCAGGTGCCAACAAATGGGCAGGGCTTCCCGGAGCCAGCCAATCAGAAAGCCCCTTTATTCCTTGCCCTCCCCTCTACCCCATTCAGAACTTTTCAATCAGGTTCCACATTGGGAAGATTCTTCTTTTTTTGCAAAAGAAGGCCCTTGTTTTATTTAGTAAAATCAGGAATGCGATTTTGTTTCCAAGACAAGGGAAGGGAGAGAGAGGGGAAACAATAAATAAACCAGGGAGTTTTGCAAAAAGCACACGGCATTTGAGGCCAGAGAGGTTCGTTTGGAGTGGATTTCGGCAGAAAGGGGAATTCCGTCCATTTCCAGGTTTGCTGGAATGTACATAAAACGGCCTTCCAAAACTTTTTCCCCAGCCTGACTCCGTCTCCCCAAAATCGTCCGAAAGATCGAATTGAAGCTGAACCCAAAGGACAAAAAGATCCATTCAAAAATCATGGGTGGGAGAGGAATTTTGAAGTTGACCCCTCTGAAATTTGAATAGAGAATGCCAGCATAGCAATAGCAATAGCAGTTGGACTTATATACCGCTTCATAGGGCTTTCAGCCCTCTCTAAGCGGTTTACAGAGTCAGCTTATCGCTCCCAACAACAATCCGGGTCCTCATTTTACCCACCTCGGAAGGATGGAAGGCTGAGTCAACCTTGAGCCGGTGAGATTTGAACCGCTGANCTTATCCTTAAGGCAAATTCCATCTGTCTATACTGCAACATCATAATTTCATTTTCTGCATCACCAACCTTTTGTTGAACCACATCTATTTTCATTACCAGATTAATATTGGAATCACTAAAATCTTCCAATTTATCTTCCATTCCAGAGACATAACCAGATAGGCATTTAGAAGCCTCAAGAATATCCTCTCTAATTTGCTGGTTCCGAGTCTGAACCGAGTCCATAAGTTCTTCTGACAATTTCTTATGAGCAGCAGATATCTCTTCCTTTATTTTAATTTCCATCACAGCTGCATGGTTTTTTAAGGCATCGGCTAAGGCCACGCTTAATTCTTTTTGCAGTATTTCTCAGGTCAAAGGCTCCCCTGCAGGGGTAGGAAGGGATTGGGGGGGGGGGAGTAGCGACTGTAATTTAGTCCCGGGAGCAGGTGAATTACCAGCATTTCGTTTGAGCTTTTCAAACACTGCTTGGCACTCCATGGTCCACTTCAGGAGCTGAAATTGTCCAGCAGCTGCTGTACTCCACTGGTGCACTCTGGGATTCTGCTGCCTGCACAGCGCAGGTGGGTCCAAGCACTGAGACTACCAGGCCAGCTGTCCCAGGAGCAGGTGGAGGTGGAGGCAGGGGTAGGAATGTGATCCGGCGTGCTGGATATGGCGGGCGGCCACCCACTTATTCACCTGCTCCATCCCACCATTTATTTTTGCTTGCCCACAGCTGCCATAGCTGGGATGTGGCAGATGGTTGCGCAGCAGGCCAAATTGCATGCCTTAACACTACACCTCTGCCTCTGTCCTCAATTTATTTTTGGCTGCCCATTGCCACCGCAGCTGGGATGGGGTGGATGGCCACCCAGCTGGCCAGCTAAATCACATGCCTCTCCCCACACCTCTGCCTGTGTCTCATCATTTGTTTTTATTTACCTGTGGCTATTGCAATTGGGATGTGACAGGTAGCCACACAACTACCGGGTGGGCCAAATTGCATGCCTCTCTCCATGCTTCTGCCTTTGCCTGCTGCCATTGCTGTCACCACAGGGTTCAGCCTACACTGTCCAAACCTCCTCCTCCAGCTCCACCAGACACATGGGATGAGCCTCCTGCCTGACGCCCCAGCCACAACAGCCCCAGTGAATGGGAAGGGTGGGGAGTCCTTGTGCCCAAGAAACCCCTATCCATTCTGCCCTACCCAAGCCTAGCCCCAGAGCTGCCTCATGCACCCCACACCCGCACAACTCACAGCCCCACAATCAGGGCACCCCTGCCTCACCCCCTGCCTATCCTTTCCTCACTTTGTGAGGGCAGCACTGGCAACAGCAGCCCTCACCAGCAGAAGCCCTGACACTCTTCAGTCCCCCCGCAGCCCGGGAAGCCCAGTCCAGGCAAGAAGAGTGAGCATAGCAGCAGCAACCTGGAGGAGGAGGAGGCAAACATGACCAGGCATCCCCTAGGGAAAGTGGGGTCAGGCTGCAGGGTCCCAGTGCCTGGAAGTTCAAGAGCCAGGCATCCATCTCTCAGGACCCCAGGCAGCCCATGTTGCTGTCCAGGGGCCCCCACATTGCCCAAAAGGGTTGGTGAGGTGCCTCCAGTGGATCAGGCCCTGGCGCCAGACCTGGTCCCCCTCCCCCACATGAGCGACATTGAGCTCGAAATGCCCACCCTGGCCACTCCCACCCAGTTGATCGGGCCCATCTGGCCATGCCCACCCCAGCCCCCCATAGGGCAACAACAATCCTGATCCGGCCCTCAATGAAATTGAATTTGACATCCCTGTCTTAGAACAAATATTTTTTCTTTTGTGAGCAATTAGAAAATTGCTTTTAGGATAGTACATACATTAAAAATATTTTTTATAATCATCCACTTACTGAAAAATTAGAAACACCTTTTAGCCAATTAAAGTGTTATGAGTAATTAAACTTATAGACCTAGTTGTCAGTTTTATAAATAACCTATTTGATATGCTGCAATCATTAATTAATTAGAATATGATGTTGCCACTATTACATCTGTTCGCTACCACTTACCACGCTGTGCGGTTTTCTAATAAGACAAAAATTCAGTGGGCTGTAACTGTCAGAAATCATTATGTCATTAGTTTTGTTTGGGATATTTATAAATCTTTTGTAGCAAATCACTAAAAAAAATCATAAACGTGGTGCAATAATTAATTAGCAAAATCATTTCATCAATTTAAGATATTTTTAATCTACCTTTCTATCACAAAACTGAGGTTTTCTCCTCCAACGTAACAGTGTTCAACATAATAAGTAGTCTTTACAGAGAAGATGATATTTTGGGCATAGAAAGCTTGGCTTCCTTTTTCATCTTTTTCTCGAATAACATGAAGGCTTTTAGTCTGTGTGATCAAATAATATAGGCCCCATCCATTTCAGGCTATCTTAATCAGGAACTCTTGAAAGCAGCAGTGTTTCAAGAGATGCTGCACTTCCAACTCCCTACAGCTTTTCTCTTCTTTCTGGTAGAATGAGTCTTAAGTAGAAATTTCACATTAGATTAAGGTGACCAGATTTTCACATTGGTAAAGAGGGACACCTTTGACCGTTGAACTACTACTTATAGTAGTTCAAATGCCAATGTCCAGTCCAACCAGCCATCCAAGGACAAGGTGGTCCAGGCTGAAAAAATCAGACATTGGGCCGATGTAAGCTTTTGATGTTGTTTATCCATTGCCATGTATTTAGAGAGTCAGGAGTTTTACAATGGTGTCTGTCATTAATTGCCAATTCTTCAATGTAGTCTGATTGCCAATTGTTGCTAGTCATTTGGTACACACGTCCGTGCTATCCACGGTGCACCACGAGGAAGTGAACTAGCATCATACCCAGAGACTCAAGGATATACTGTACATTAAAAAGTACTGTATTTAAAAATCACCGTCGCCTATCAGTATCAGGCAATTTTTTATTCAGGCAATAGCCCAAAATATAGGTAGCTATAGATTCTATTATATTTAATATGATAAAACCATTTTCTTTAGAACACTTCAGTTTTGTTAATAAATAGCAATCTTCCTATTGATCTTGATTCCACTGAAATTGAGGACCATATTTTTTGTCCTTGTTAATAACAAATTTTCTTGTAGATTCCAAATCGTGTACCCTACAGTGAAAACATTAAATTCTCAATTACAACTTCAAAACTTGAAGATCAGGACCATTGAAGAATCACCCAATAGTGATCACCCAATAGAACACCTCTTTCTAATTCCTTATATAACTGAAATCTCTGTTCTGTGACCTCACAAGCATTTATTACCAGCATGAACCCCCCTTAACACCAATTTTGACTATTTCAAATGAATTTCACATCAGTCTGTTACATGAGATACTCATCTGAAAGGATTAGAGCATGTACAGAGTAACACATCTTAATAGTGCAATTATGATTAAAACTGCTGGAGTTTAAAGTAAATATTTTGCTTTAGTTCTTTTAATTCTTTAATTCTTTTTTCAAATGAATGTAACAACTGGGATGCCCAAATTACTGTCAACAGCCACAATCCTATTAGAAAAAGAAAGCCTCCAAGTTTTTTTCTCCTATCTTTTGTGAAACAAGCTCTTTAGAGTTACAACCTGAAAGACTATTTCATTATAATGTAATCATAATAAAACTCAAGTGTTTGCACTTCATCAACTAGACAGTTTAAAATAAAAATATCAGACACCTGTGATGTGTGCAGCACAATGCAAGAATGATATCACAGAATGACCAATTTCCTCATGTCCATATCTGAATTTTTCTCCCAAGAGTCTCTTAGGGCAGAACTGAAAATGGAAACCTATCAGAAAGAGTTTTACTGTACTTTATTGTTCTTCTTCCAACAATGAAATTTTTTTTGAAAAGTTTTTTTTAATTTTAATTGGACAAAAACACAAAAAAAGAATCATCCTTCATTACATCTTGTAGAAAGCATGTCGATT